CTCGGGATTTCCGAACTCCATTCCTCCCTGCCAAGCCAGATTGAGTGTCTTCATGGGTAGCTCATTCCTTCTACTTTTTACACCCCCGGTTCCCTGCCTCGGTCCCCCAAGGCCAAGCAAGGGAGGCGGAGGGTGTAAGATATAAAGACCAGACAGATGAAGTGACATCTGAGCAAGGCAGGCCAGAGAGAGCGAGAGAAGGCAAAGCAGGGACTTGCATCCACTTCCCTCCACATGACAAGCCAGTGAACTCCTCCTGAACCCTGACATCAGAAGAATATTGGGACCTTTCCTTTTAACTGGACATGCTACGGATCCTGCTTCTGACACCGCGTTCCGTTCCAGTCATCTCTCACGTCTAACACACTTTGACCCTCATCAACTAATAAATGCGGAGGAATTTTAGTCAGGAATAAATATAGCACACGCATTGAGTGGCGAAAGTGAGGGGAAGGGTCCTTCATTTATTTAGTATATTAGTCATCTCATTAGCAAATTCTCAGTTTAAGTTACTACTGTAAAAATTATTATTAGTGTTTATATAAATATGTTGTTCATTTTGCGTAAAAGGTGTCCTAAAAGCAAATTCTTCATTATTTGTGTGTAGGCGTGGTCTGACGCTATTCTAAATTTGTTGCAGAGTATGCACCGATTCAAGTTCGAAGTTATTGATAAATAACATTTGCGGGTCAAACATACGAACGCACGTTTTTGTGCTCAAATTGGTTCCTACGCACAGTTTGTACATGATTGCCATTGTCTCCAGGGTCCCCTGAACAGGACAGGCAACAGATCCCACTTCTGACACCATGTTGGGATAAAGATGGACAACTTGTTGTTCTTATCGCTGGGGTCCATTACACACAGGTCACTTGTCTCAAGAATCCTTCCAACAAGGCACTCCCCGGATTCCACTTCTGACACCAAATTGGGATCAAAACATAATTACACATTTTAATCATCATCACATGGCGCAGGGGTCCTTCCAACTGGGCGGGCCACGAATCCTACTACTGACACCATTTTCAGATTAAAAAAAAAAAACAGCATGTTTAGTGGGCACTTTCTTTTGAGCGTGGTGGCGATAGATTTTGATTTTGTACGATGGCATGCTGACACGGCCGTCAGCCATCCAGCGTGATGCACATTTTGATTTTTGCGATGAAAGCCACGCTGCCCCCTCGCTTCCCCGTTCCCAGTGGACCAGAGTTAATCATGTGGGCATCATCCAGATATCACCCTCCTTTCCCCCCGTGCTCCCGCTCCATTGGCATAGGCACAGCGAGCTCGACCTTGGCTGGGTGTGAATAATTGGCATGCAGGGGCATGGTGGGAGGTGTTGTAGCTCTGATTGTTGTTGCCCCACAGGAGAATACTGTGCATATAATGCTTTCCTGACACTGCAATAAGCACCACGGGCAGAAATCTAACACTGCACGGGACATGTGACGGAACGGTAGCAGTGTCTGCTTCCGTGCTTCGGATTTCTATGTCATCAATTTGCACCAAATTGCTATTAGCGACGCAGTTAATTAACCTCCTAAGCTAATCATCCACATGAAGAACAGCTCGAAACCTACAAGGAGGCAAATTATTCAATTTTTTTTGGACACAATTTCAAAAAGTGTCTGAATAAATGACCCAACATTCTTTGGCTAAGATTAAATTGAAGGATGAGAGTACATTTAATATCCACTTGTCCCACTCTGGTTAATATCACTCGGTTAACGGGGAGCGGTCACATCTCGTTACCATTGTGACTAATGGTAGAGCAAGGGCGTTGCGACAAAGCGAGGGCTACTCAGTGTTTGCCACTTCGGCCCCTACCCCACTGGGGGGCGAACACTTCTCACGACTGGCGAAGGTAGAAAAATGCGCGTTCACGTCAGGGTTCGTTCAAGGTGGCGAATGTCCGCCACGTTGCCGCCAACTCGAGCCCAGACGCAGACTAAGCCAACCAAACTCCATCAGCGGACGTCATTCACAAGACCACACCCCGTCAATCAAACACGCAAATACTACAGGGCATACACTAATTCCACTTTCGAAAAGCATTCTATTCTTGACACTTTTTTTTTTTTTAATCCTGTTTTATGATGTTAGTCCCCTATCTATGTTTAATCTGCGATATTCAGTAGGTGAACCGCGATTTATCAGGGGAACGCCGGAGTCTGCTCGGTGACCTAAAAGCATCGCACGTGAGCAGACAAAAAGGTCAAAACGCACGGACCAATATTCATAATAGAGTGGACCAGTGCGATGAAGTGGGCGTACCGCTGATATAATGAAAACAGTCTGTCCTTGGTGACATTGTACTTGATATATTTGGAGTCCTTGTCGCCTTTGTCGCTGTCTATATCATACGTCGTGGATCTGAATAGCCTTCCCGTTTCCTGCTCCGCATGAGAGCGCGCACACACGGGAAGGCCCTTTTGAGCGTGACCTCTCTTGTCCATACATCTCCTCTGCAGCCATCAGTATCACTGTCCGGCGTCTTGCATGCTCTCGGCTCCTGTTGGGTTCTCAAACCTGCCCGACGCAGCCCTGTGCTTTTTTTTTTTTCCCCCCTCCTTCTACCTCCGGTATAAAACAGCAGCCAATTGTCAGAGGGAGAGCAGGTCGGCGTGACAGAGGTGGAAAGCTAATGAAGTTATTTGACGGCGGGCCTGGCCGCGGAGCGAGAGGTGAGGCGCGGCGGACAAGCGCCTGGCAGCGAGACGGATGAGGCACGAGGCGAGAAAAGCGGGAGGCGGCGGAGGCGCGGGCAAAAAGAACACCAATGTATGTAGCGTCGGTGGCAGGTGTCAGAAGGCTGTGATACCACGCAGACAGACTGATAGCGTCGCGGCGGCGGCAGAAAGGGAGCAGACTCGGGAGCTCGAGATGGCCAGTCACCCAGAAAGACACCCTCCGTCTGCTTCTCGGCTCGATTCACACGATGACATGCGAGAAAAACTGGACACTTGTCTCCCGTGTTGTGTATGTGAGATTCTGACAGACAAAAAAAAGGCTGCAGCGTGAGCTCGGCCTTGTCGGGATTGAATCGTTACTTGTGCGGAACGCTTGTTCTTTTTGTTAAGGAGAGTGTTAAAAGCTCGGGAGAAGCGTCGGTATGCTATTAGGAAATGCAGGCTCAGGCTGATTTTAAGACCGCAAAAGTTGTTACACTCTGGGCGCCTGCGTATCTTTACAAATTCTCACATGATGCATATTCCTTTCGCAGTTGCGAATGACTCCCATCGATCCTAATAAAATGGCATTCTTACATCAAAACACACGTGGGATAAAGAATTACAGTACTCTGAATGTCCACTTGTCACACTGTTTGAAATGAGCCCGTTTTGAGGGGGCGGTCCTGTGTCATCACCCCGCCCCTGATACCGTGGGGCCAACGACCAGTTCAGCTTTTGTTACCATGACGACTCGCAACGAGCCAATAGTCTACTACTTGTAGAAGCAGCACTTTACTGAAACGTTTCATGTGTCCTCGTTCTTTTCGTCATCTACTCCTCTTTTACCTTTATATATTGTCCATGCGCATTTGTGTGCTTGGGTCCTTGTGGGTGGTAGGGGTGGCCGCAGGTCGGTTGATTTTTAACAATGTCAAGCATTTTCGAGTTCCATGGTCATGTGTGAAAAGCGCTCGACAAGTTTGATTGATTGGCCGGGTGGGAGAAATGTTCTCGTTACCATGACGACAAAGGGAGGAGCAAAGGGCTGGATTCGAACCTGTGCACTGTGAAACGGACGGGTTAAACAGTCGACCACCATGCCGCCCACATATATGCAACTGATGTTTGAACACAAACAGTGCAGCAACACTTTTTGACATTAAATTACATATAACAGTACTCACATTCTTCGGCAGGATTGTTTATCTTCTGCGGGGACCTGACCTGTCTATACTGTACAGGAGAATGGCCATGAAAAATGGAATGCGGGTGAGGGCTTGTTCGTTTCTGCTTGCAGCTTTGTCTTCTGTTTTTATATGAGTGCTTGTATCTGCTCATGTAAAAAAAAAAAAATTTACGTGTTTTGTAAAATGGGGGAATAAATGTCCTGTCCCCGTCAGATCCAACATGGCCTGACATGCTTCTAATTAGAGGACGTCCTTCCAGGTGCTGACCAGGTTATACTTAGCCTGCCCGCCGACATCCGACGACGTGACATTTCCAGCTGGTACAGGCTGCGACCCCCGCACCACTGCCCGTGAACTTGAAGGTTGCCCTGCCACCAACACCCCCCCCTCCCCCGCGCCCCTCGCTGGCTTTTCTCCCTCTTGAATTACATGTACCCCCTGCACCCCGGCTTGCCATGGTGTGGCACTGTGGCATTGCTCACCACACGGCACCTGTCCCGTTTTTGCTGAGCCCTCTACCCTGACGGCATGACACTCATTAATCAGAGGGGCCCTGAGTCGGCGCAGATGGATGAGGCGGGATGAAAGGGTTGGCGGGCCTTTGGCTGGTAGAGATGTTAGGTGAGATGGTCCAGGGTGTGTACGTGTGGGAAAAAAAGGGGGTAGATTTCTGCTGTGGACAGTGGCAAGTGGACAGACAGGCTTCTGATTCTGAGCAATGGCGCTCGAACAGCGCTTCTGTGAGATAAAGACTGTCTGGTTTAAGGCTGTGCCATGACAAACAGTCAGCCATAACACGGTGTACTTTTTTACGAAAATTTGAAGCTAGTTGTGTTTCGAAAGTCTTGTTTTGGCACACTGTGTAATGAGATGAGACATGAGATACAAAGCGGACTTTTATTGGAGGTGGCTCCGTAGCTAATTATTAATTATTCATCTAAGGCGGATTAGATGTGGCCCAGTTTCTCTTGAAGACATCTGCGAAGCGGCGGTGGCGGCGTTGGTGTGACAGCTCTCTCCAGAAGCTCCAGAAGGCTGCGTCCTTTGGCGATTGCCAGATAAGGATGACGAAGCCGTGATTTATATCGCCGTGTACGCAAGTTGCACGAGAGTCGCACTATGGGAGGGGGATCACAGACGTGTAGGAGGACAAAAGTTGAGAGTAAAGTCAGCGAAATAAATGAGGTGAGGTGTGGACTGCTGGTGTTCCCCATGCAGTGAAGCCGCCAATGTATGCTTAATGCTGCTTGCTTATTTTTTTTCACGTGTATGCGGTTCACATTGCCAATTTACAAACACAATTCCACCATCTTTTTATTCTCCACAGCAGCCAACCAGAGGGAGGCATTGAAGTCGCCCTTCCACGTGAAGGAAGAACCCAAAACAGAGGAAGCCTTGAGTCCAAGACCGGCCTCCCAGTGTCAAATCCCACCAAGCTTCCCCGGGACATTCTGCCAGGACGGGATAACGGGCTCCGCGGCAGCAGCTTCCGACCGCCCGGGGTCCCTCAAACCCACCCAAGGGAGCCCACCGGCTGCCAACAGCTTACTGAGCCAAGACATCAACATGAAAGTGGCCTCAGAGTTGCTGATCAAGCTTTCAGGTAGAGTAAATGCACACTTGGGCATCTGTACATGTCAGGGCAAGGTACCACTGTGGCATCCCATCGTCTGGTAGTGGGAATGTATTGATGACAATGATCCTGATCGTTTGAAACCTGTAAAACAGGCTGACCGAACAGTCAAATACAAAATGAATACACTCGCAAGCAGCATGGAGCCGATGCTCAAACCGGACTACGTGGTAAACGGCCAACCCGACTGACTCAATCTATTGTGTTTTTATATTTGTATTTATCCATCCATCCATCCATTTTCCGATCCGCTTATCCTCACAAGGGTCATGGGGGGTGCTGGAGCCTATCCCAGCTGTCTTCGGCTGTAGGCGGGGGACAACACCATGAACCGGTCGCCAGCCAATCGCAGGGCACACAGACGTATAACCATCCACGCTCACACTGACACGTAGGGACAATTTCGAGTGTGCAATCAGCCTGCCATGCATGTTTTTAGAATGTGGTTGGAATCCGGAGTATCCGGAGAAAACCCACGCAGGCCCGGGGAGAACATGCAAACTTCACACAGGGAGGCAGGAGCTGGGATCCAATCCACGACCTCTGCACTGTGAGGTCGACGCGCTAACCACTCGCCAATATTGGTATTTATGTTTTACAAGACAATATTTGTTTTTCCATAGAAATAATACATGATTGAAGGTTGGTCATAAACTCCCGCAAGTTCCGACTTGGAAACAAATTTTGGTTCCTTTGCCATCATTGGATTGCAACTCTGTCATAGACCGCGGAACAGCCTTTATTTATTATTACTGTAGACTGCTAGAAGTGCAGTCTGTAGCTCACATACCTTCAAGTGTAATAAAAAATAAATAAAATGCCGTGCTTAGCAATGTTAAACGATTAAAGTCCTCCTTGACCCACACGCCAAGCTACAGCCAGTAGTTTTTGTGTGAAATGGCTCACAACAACAACATGACCTCCCTGGTGGTGGTATCTCTTAAACGATTGCATTTACTGAGGAATTCTTCGAGACGCTTCCAGGTCACGCACTGATATTGATATTTTTTGCTACGGTGTTCTGCGGGTTTGGCCAAACAACAAGTTGCATTCTTAGCTGTACTCCGCCAGACTGAAACACTTTGAAAGGGGGTACAATATGGGTGGCTTTCTTTTGTGGTATGCTTAATCTTTTTTTTGTTTGTTTGTTTTTTTCCCTTCACACTGCCATGAAGCATATGTCACTTGAGAGCAAAAAAATTGGAATTATAATAATTGGACCCTGCAGTATAAATCCAGCCTATGAGGTATATTAAAGATTGTTTGTACTGTTTTGCCGCCAACCTAAAAAATAAATAAATAAATTCTGAGGCCACCAATTAGAAAATGAGACCCTTGTTCTAACGCAACCGAGACCCCCCCGGTTACGTGGTAATGGCGCAAAATGATTTTGCCTCTGGACATTGGTGCGTCATTGCTAAATCGCTCTGCCGCTGCTTGTTTGAGTCCAAAATGAGCTGTGAATGCCAGGTCGACTTGGAGTGTGTTGTTTGTCCATTGCTGCAGAGTGACTCTCAGGCAATTTAAAAATGTCAACTGTGTGCCAACGAGGCTAAGTTCAGTGTTGAGTTGATATTTGGAAAAACGTCTAAATAAAAAAACAAACATTCTGGTTGGCATGCTCATGATAAACTCAGTAATAAGCTGTTGCAAGCACACAACAGTCTTCCTATTCCACTGCTGCGGATCAGGAGTTTCCTTTGACTTCATTGTAGGGTGCATCGTAGGAATGGGGTGGACGAAGAAATGTCACTGTCGGTTCATTGGTCGGCAAAGAGTGGTCTCCCTTGGGGTTGACAAAGGAATGGGAGAATCTCTCTTGATTGTTCTGAGCTCCTTACTCTATTCCGGCTTTGTGTTGAGCGGAGCAAAGCTGCCCAGAGGAGTTCATGGAGCTTCTCTCGTTCAGACGACAAAATCGTTGACAAGGTGGTTGCAGAGCCTCCAAGTTGAAAAGTTGACTGTCAAACCGATACAGAGAACACAATTACATTTTGTATATTTAAACACCAACCAGGTGCAATTAAACCATCAAATTTTGTCGAACTAAAGTGCCGTATTTTCCGCACTAAAAGGCGCACCTAAAAAAAAGCCTTCCATTTTCTTATAAAGCTCACAGCGCACCTTAAAATCCAATGCGCCTTGTTTATGGTCATTACGGTAATACTTTGACCCCAAAATGACTCCTTGCTCGAGACATGCTGACAACGCAGAGTTCAAACTTAAGGCGATCGGTTACGCAGTTGAACACGGAAATAGAGCAGCGGCAAGAGAGTTCAACGTTAACGAGTCAATGTTATAACGTGCTGTTGGTTAAGTGAACTGTCTCGCTGCTTTATTAAATAAGTTTTACTGACATCTGATCGTTCTGTTGGCGTTTCCTTGAGCGTAGCTCCATCTAGTGGATGCATTGTAGATTGCGTCTTATAATGCGGTGCGCCGATGTGGTATTTTTGCCATTCAAGTATCTTAGCTATTTGTGGAGAAAATACATCTATCCTGTACTTGTACAGCTTCCACCTCCTGTGTACAGACAGGATCTTTCATGTCATTTTACACTATTTTCCTGTGCCGCTGCTCGGTTGACCCAAGTGAGACAAAAGATGGCGAAACGTTCATCTGATGCTCGCTCGCTCGCTCTCTGTCCTCAGAGCGCAGTGCCGGTGGTTGCCAGGGCAACGGGAGGGTGGATGGAGAGGATTGTGGAGAGTGACAGCCTTGACAAGAGTCTGGACCCTGGAGTGACCCTGGGGTGGGGAGAGGAGGAGATGTAAGGATGAGGAGAAGGGGGCCAGGGAAAGGTCAGCGCGTTCACAGTCACATGTGATTACAGTCATGAGGTTCAAGGGCGTCCGCACAATCACCTCCTCTCTATGTCCACTGCAGAGGGGTCAGCGGGAGAGCAGCCATAATGCAATAAGGATGCATAATACGCAAATCACATTGAGGGGTGGGGAGGGGAGTCAGAGCGGGTTTAAGTCTTTGCCAGAGCGTCCCAATGTGTCATACCGTAGTTGTGTGCAGGAAATCAATGTAGCCCTTTTCAATAAAGGGTTGGATTTGAATGATCGATTAATCGACAAAAAAAAAAAATCTTCACTCCAACATATTAGAAATTGCAAAATGCCACACACAGTGAAATTAGTAACAACTGCGAGGGCGGCAATACGTACAAACTGGCATATGTTCTATTGCTACCGCTTAGTAGCGGACCTTCTCTGCCCCGTCTTCCTGCTCTTAATTATGCTTTTTCTAGGAGTGCTCGGTGTTGATGATTGCTTAAAAATCATCACAAAAGATGAACTGTGATACAGTGAGGGATATATGATATGAACACAACCCGTGTTGTCATCATTACTGCACATTGTGTGGTAACGTGAATTGCATCATCCCGTTTTTAACTAGGTCACCCCCCTCCCCTCCCCTCCCCTCCCCAGCCCCCAAACTCACATCTCCCAACCCTCCACTCTATCGCTCCTCGCATTCTTATCACACATTGGACGGTCATGCAACCACCCACATCTGTTTAAAAAAACTAATAATAAAAAAGAAAAAAAAACAGGCTGCCAGTGTCTGGGGGCTAATTACGCTGGGCTAAATAGTCCCGGCGCCACCGGCTAAAAGCGCGCCAGCAGATGGGCTCTGGTGTTTGTGGGGTAAGGCGGGGGGGACCGATGTACGGTGGCGCCCTGACAGAGTGGCATCAATGCGGGTAACAGCCGTGACGCCCACTTGCCAGCTCGGTGTTGCTGCCATAGGTGTGAAATCACACGTTGTGCTCGCTGGCACTCGTTGGAATCAAAAGCCAGTCTGACCACTGAGGAGCTTGCAGACTACAAATGACTTGCCTGCACATTCACCTCAAACAAGAGTTATTGACTCCCGTTGGCTATCAAAGGGATGATTCAATAGGCACCGACGCAAGGACAGTGAAGCTCCGGCATAGCGAGTGAGCCCCGTGCGAAAATCCTCACGTAACTAACGATCACACGAAAAGGTTTGTAATTGCCAAAAGGCGACGCAAGATTAGACAAGGCTCTGGCCTAACTAAGCCCCTCCCCCACGAGTTTATCATCGATGCATGGCACCGCACCAAGATGCCACCAGATGGTGTCAAAGTAATGTAACATGGCTTGAGATATTCTGTCAAAGTTAAAACTTTGGAGATTTATTGATCGCATTTTATAAAAGTTAACAGTTATATTTACATTTACTTCCTCACATGTGCAGCCCAACTTAGAGGAGTCTCTGGTGCGAACTGGACAAACACCAAGTAAAGGGAGTTTTACTCTCAATTTTACTCGCTTGACACTTGTTGGAGAAGTCTAAAGTAATTTGTGTGCTTTGCAAAGCCAAATTCAAATACCACGTTCGTTGTACATCTTTGACGTCTCATCTTCCACCCGGCTCACGTTACCGCCAGGAAGCCTCGCAAATCAAAGCTGCCCGAGTGTGGTATTTGTGGATTTTTTTTTAAAGGAGAACGATTTGGTTTGAGCCGATGCACTCACATCTTTTTAATCCCAACCAGTTTTCTGATTCATCCTTCATTACACCCCTCCGAAAAAGTAGCACCCACACTGGATACAAACATACCACACGTACACACGCACTCGCGCACAACACACCACGCAACACAATGCAATCACCCGGCCATGTCAATTGACACCGGTGGCGTAATCTGGCGTCATGTAAACCCTGCGCTTGGTTTTGGGCGGCTGTCCTCACCGTGCCCCCTTCGGTGTGTGGCCGCTCACTGACCCCTCCCAGCTTCTCAACCTGAGCGTAGTTCTTTCTGTCTCCTTGTTTATCACCGCCACTGCCTCACAGTTGTCTCCCCCGCCCCCTCCACCCCCCCACCCTTTGTTGTTGCGTCAACCTTATTTGGTGACTTATGTTTATGACCGTTTGCGAGCTGGTTTAGCTGGGGCTCAATGGTAGCTGCAGCAGATGTGTGTGAAGTCTGCAGGCTCCCACATGACACGCCGTCTCCACACTGCAGCCCTTTGAAGCGGCGTGAACTCTTCACCCCCTGTCTGACGAGCAGGTTGGAGAGACTGGAGGAAGGAGATGTGCGTGGGGGGGCAGGAGGGATGCGGAATAACAGAACAAGGACGGGGGTAGACTCGGATGTACCATGTAGGGGAGGGCCTTCCGTCTACTCCTACGCCGGCGCTGCGGCCAGGTTTGCATGCCGCCGCGTCAAAGTGGGCCAATGCGTTTTTTGGGGGTTATTAACGCGCCGTGCCTTTATTTACCCGTCAGTGTGCGTGTGCGCCGCGCTCGACTGAATCGTTGTTGACATGGGAAGTCAAGAGTTTATCGCTTTAAAACACAACAACCTCCGGCACTTTCTCACTTAGTTCGACACGAAATAACGGCTGGCTGTTGTCATTTATTCCTAATATATGTGCAATACGTTGCATGGAGCCAGTCAGGCTCACTTTTTTAAGTTGCGTTACCACCTACAATTCCACAAACTTTTCGTTTGTTTTCTACTTGAAAGCACAGCCGACGCTGCCCTCAACCAAAACTTAACATACAATTTGCACCTAGTGCAACTCCGGCAAACAGTTGGGCTACATAATAGACCCGTTCCGTGCAGAAACAATTGGAATTATGCGACAGACAATTTTCTTCAATCTGTTTTCAAATCAAAAAGGAATAGTGCAGGAAACGGAATCTTCCTCGCCTCTTCACACGTTGAACGTACTGTATTTACAGTATGTAGCTCAAGCACAGCTCAAGAGTTCACTGGCGGAATTACTATATTTGATATTTAATCAACAACAAGCCACCTTCACTCCAGAAAACGCGTTGACTCATTTACAGGTTCAACCACTGAAAAAAAAAAAGCATCAAGTGGCTTCACAATCAAGGACGCCAAAAAAAAAAGCCAGAAATCGTGTCGCATTAATTGAGCTCATTTTTTATGCGAGGGATGTTTAGTGGGACCCAACGGGAGCACTCTTCCTACTTTTTAAAAGCTTCAGCAGTTGTGAAATACTCGAAGGACTTGCAATATTTTACAGCACACTTGCTAAAAATATATGCTAGAACAAAAGAAACGGAAAAGTGAAGTTCTACGGCTCTTTAACAGCTGTGCGTGTTATAAAAGCGACAACAAGTCTCTCACAAAGCAAAAAATTGCTTCTACGCACAATTCCGGGACCTTCAAGTAACCTTGTGCATGGACCTCCCAAAAATCATGAACATTTTTCCAACCCCCCCCAAAGCGAAATGTTTCCAACAGTTCCTGCGTCTCCGGAAAAAAAGTAAAAGCGAAAGCACTAAAAAAGCAAACAGAAACTTTCATTTGCAATTGCAGGAAATTTTAGTTCTCGATACTTGTTGTTCCTGAAACAAAAACAAGCCCCCCTCAAACGTTCCAAGATATTTCAAAAAAATACTCCTTTCAGCCCTAAATTTTTACACCTTACTTTTTCCGCTTGGATGCTGATGGTTTTATTTGACTTTGGAGGCTTATTTTTCCAAATTGTACCACTTTTGGGTTTGGGTGGTTCCGTTGTAGTCTGAAGCAGGGTGAGGGCGTAAGCGGACTTCTTTTTATGGCAACAGAACATGAGGTCAAAGAAAAAGTATCATCGGCGTGGGAGTCGGGCCATATTTTTCCTCTTTTATGCAGTGACAAGTGGACTTGAGAGAGGGGATCCGGGTGTTCTCCATCAGATACCTCCCACCCGCGGCGTGCCATCTCCGGGTAACGCCGGTAAGCATGTTTGTGTCGGCGGGGTGTGGGAGTTCAAGTTCATCGTCGTGACATTTAGCACATGGTTTCTTTTTTGTTTTTGTTTTTTCCTCCCGAGTTATTGAGGGTAGCGATCCAGTGACGGATGCTCAAGCGTCCCCTGGTTGACCCCCTTATACCCCCTTAAAACCTGCCAAGCACCGTCCCCCCACCGCCACTACATCTCCGAGACCGACACGACCGCCCGATTAAGGGATTAGAGGGGCTTGATGGTTGTCTGTATCCTCTCTCTTTGTCCTGCCCTCCAATCAAACTGACACCTGGACTTTTATGAACTCCACCAAGGGTTTCTTGTGCCTTTGTTTGTTTTCTACCGGCATTTTTTACAATTTTTATTCATTTGTTTTTGATGATTTGGTTTACAGCTTTGTTTTGACCCAAGGATACATTGATTCGCTGCAGATCACGGCTCATTTCATTTTCCCAGAATTATATATATAAACACACACAATTTTATTTTTTTTTAAATTAAATTGGAATATATGGAGATTTTGATTTTAGCCCTTTCAGGGACAGCGGTTACTACATTGGACAGCCTATCAGGTTCCAGCTTATTATTATTGGTGCATGAAAGGGTTAACTAAAAAAAAGGGGGGTGGGGGTGTAGTACAAAAAAGCAATGTCTCGATGTCAACTGACATTTTGTACTTTTCATAGGAGTTGGTCCAAAAAGTATTTTACTCCCCTTAACAGTTGCTTCTCTCTTTGAGAAACATCTCAATGTTCTGTTGACAAAGCAGACTCATTTTTGTACACGATACTCAAAGTAAAAATGTCAAGACTTGCTATATTGCTACCTCAAACCAGCAATAGCAGGCATAATTATTACAAAGCACCGCGTGTGCATTCATTAACACATCCAACGGTTGCAATCTGTTCGCCACCAAATGCAATTTAAGCCATCAAATTTTAATTGCTGTGAAATGTGCGCAAGCTTTTTGGCCTCGAACCAAATGGTCGTAACCACATTCGCACGTTATTACTCCCGAGGATGTGATTCATCATACATATTCTTGTGAATAAATGTCTACATTTGAGCTTCTCTCTCTGTCATTCATATCGGCAGAAATACATCCAACCTGCAAATCCAAGGAGCAGTCCAAATAGCTTTTATACACGTAGCTGTGTGTTTATCTGGGCTCGAGGGCACTGCGAGCTGCGAGGTCACGCCACCATATGATGGGGGGGGTAAAGCGAGGTCTGTGGTGTCGGGGTCCGCCAAAATGCGTATGATAGCCACGACGTCGATGGTTGGCTTGACTGAGCACAAACGCCGTTGACTCAATGGGCGAGTCCAGTTGAAAAGGTGACATGAAGCAGGCGCGCTCAAAATAGTTAAGCGAGACGTGGCGTCTGTTCGGAATGCCCCCACCGACCGACTCTCCTTGCTCTCTGAGCTTAGGCGGCGGCGTATTCGTGATGCAGATGTGACTTAACTATAGGTCCAACATCATGAGTGGGCAGCTATTCAAAAGCGGTTTCCTTTGCTGCGCAGTCCTCATTCACTCACAGTGGACGTCGCTTCAAACGCTGTTTCCTTCTGTGTGTGTACAAATTCTTGATGACACGGAACGCCGGTCGCTACAGTGATATTTATTTGAATGCAGTCGAAGTCTTGACATCAAATTTGTGCATCGATCACTCCAATGTACATTCAAAGGTGATTTCCTTCATGAGTCTTGTTGAAGTTGAGCATCAGTCACGACAGTTTTTGCTCTAAGACTGACTGAACTCTGTGTGCCTGTGCGTGAAATGACACGTTATCGAGCAATAAAAACAGCTTGTGAATAACTGTCCACTGAAGTGAGTCTCAGCGTATGAGATGACACGCCGGGTAGTACAACTTTGACATCAAGACTCGTGCGCATAAAAGGAAAATGTTGATTAAGGCAGAATTTATGTGCGCAATTACATAACAGTGATGCCTCGAGATACATGTGATTCAACTCCCGAGTCTTCTTCGCGATACGAGCCGTCATTTGTCCAATCGCAAACTTGAGATACAATACGGCGTACGGTGGCGGTGAACGTCGGTCGACTCGCTTCGCTAAGCAGCGGTTTGGCAAATGCTGAAGCGCTCCTCAAAAACAGAGGCATCAATCTGTGTGGCGCTACTCCCACTGAAAGTTTGCGTTCAAACTACACAAAACGAAGAGAATTACACGTCGTGTATTTAAAACCACTTCGCTTTGCCTTATGAAAAGGTCAGCGTAGCATGCTAACTTTAGCATCGATAGTCAAAGTTTCGGAAGCAATGGATATTTGGAGCAAGAGACTTTGACAGTTCAGCTTGCCGTTTTTTTTTGTGCTTCAAGCATGACGAGCGAATCTTCTTCCCGCACAGAGAACAACAAAGACGGCCACTTCCAGAAGGTGAAGGTAAAAGCGGAGCCCATGGAGGTGGACCCGGCCCCCGCCGAAGTCTCGTCGCCCGTCCCCCCACCTGCTCCGCCTCCCCACCTGCTGGCTTTCGGCACTTTAGGGGCGCGCGAGAAGACAGAGCCGGCCCCGGAGCCTCTTGCGCGCCCCCAAAAGGACCTCTTCTCCCAGGACATCTCGGTCAAAATGGCTTCCGAGCTCCTCTTCAAATTGTCAGGTGTGTTTCGAAACACGTTCGTCCAACCGCCTCAAGCAAGTGCAAGGACGGCAGGTGTGCGTGTGCGCGCGCGTGCGGGCTGTAAAACCTTCCATTTCTGTCCTCGCCGTTGTAAAGTCAAGGACGCGACATATCACATGTGACCACATGGCTGACATTGAAGCTTAAGTAGGTGTGAGTCCTGATGAAGTTGGGCATCCGTCACCACTTTGGACATTTATTCCAAATTCATTTCTTTCGTTGGACGAGTCTTGATTGAGTCGGTCACTGCTGTGGACAATTATGATGTACAAGTTTCACATTCTGTCATTATGGATAAGGCTGAGCCATTAATCGACATGTCATCATGATTTTCATTCAAAACATTCTCATCGAAGAAAACCGATTAACGTGCCCAACGTCGCAATGTGTAGATGCAAATTCCTCTGTTGTGAAGGCGTCCGTGCTTTAAGGGTGTTTAATGACACGAGTTGAAGTGGACTGTCAAACTAAAACGCACCACAAAAGGAATCATACATATCAGCGCGTCGACTGCACAGTGCCGAGGTACCAGGTTCAATTCCAGCTCCGGCCTTCCTGGTTGGAGTTTGCATGTTCTCCCCGTGCCTGTGTGGGTTTTCTCCGGGTACTCCAGTTTCCTCCCACATTCCAAAAACATGTATGGCAGGCTGATTGAATGCTCAAAATTGTCCCTAGGTGGGAGTGTGAGCGTGGAAGGTAGTTCGTCTCTGTGTGCCCTGTGATTGGCTGGCAACCGGTTCAGGGTGTCCCCTGCCTACTGCCCGAAGACAGCTGGGATAGGCTCCAGCACGCCCCGCGACACTTGTGAGGATAAAGCGGATCAGAAAATGGACATATTCAATGGAAGACATATTTCATTTTAGAAACATTGCCAATGCTTGATGAAGTTGCTTATCAGTCACTATGGATTCCCACCACGATCAAACTTTCCATTTCCATCCTCTGGTTTTAGAGTCGAGCAAAACTACTTCTACTGTACAACATCACAAGTGCCCACGTGACTGAGATTGAAGCGGTTGGGCCACTTGTTTGTACTTCTTCATGAAGGGCAGAACATTTTACACACAATGAACACACTAGGTTATCTTTAGGCATGTAGCCTTGCGTGCGTACCCACCTTTACACGCCCCCACCTTCCCACCGGGCCTGTACAAATGTCCACCACAATCCACTCCTTCTCTCATTCTGTCTCCCTTGACTCGTTTTCAGACATGCCGGCTCAAGCACACTTGGCTGCGCACACTCCACCCCCCCCCCCCCGCCTTTACATTTCTCCCGTGCCGCATCGCCATGGCAACGTGGAAAGAGACCTCTGTCCTTGGCGAGTGGTGTGACAAAATGCGGGTGGGGTGGGGTGGGGGGTGCCACCCAGGCAGACCGGGGCATCTCTGGGGCCTGGCAAACTGCAGCAACTGCCACAAAGGAGGATCTGGATGCAAAGGGAAATGGTACATGGTGGAAGGTGGGTGGGTGCGGGGGTGCGGGGGTCTCGGTGCAAGGCTGTCACACAATGAGCAATCAATATGAATTACCCGCAGCGGTAAGACCTCAGAAATGCGTCGGTGGCAAGGTCGGCGAGAACGCCGGGGGGGGGTGGGGCTGGCCGCTTTGGAGATGCTCCTCGTCTCCTTGAAAGTCGCACGTGCGGCTTCTCCTTCTCTTTCTTGGCTGTCGGCAGCATGTTTTCTGTCCGATTTGACGTAGCATGTTTGAACCGCTGCTAAATGTCAATCAGGTAAGGCCAGAGATGTTGTTGGATTGCACCGTGGCAAGAAGAGAAGGGTTGTCACAGCTTCTTTACAGTTCTGAGAGGGGGGGGGGGGGGGATACAAATCAATTCGACAGCTGCAACTGGTCCAAAGTGCTTGTGATCAAGTTTTTACGAACTAAAACAAATGTTCCCATGTTTTCAATGTATAAACCTAGATGAGATGTCTACAGTTAGCCTGTATGGATGCCCATGGACAGTGTGTCCTTCTGGATATCTTACATTGCCCCTGGTGGCCAAGGCAGGCAGGAGCAGCACAATGGCCATTCATTTTGTTTGATTGATTGATTGATTTATTTTTTATTTTAATTATGTACTCAATACTTTTATAGGATACAATATTGTAGAATGCTTTTTTTGGAGTTTTTTTTTTTTTTTTTTTCTGGGGGGGGGGGGGGGTCAGATTAATTGCATTTCCATTAATTTCATTTCGAAACACAACAAATACCTAAATCGGCGATTCCTATCATTAAGTATGCTCGTCTTATTTTTGTTTTCCAGAAAAAGTGAGCAAAGCCAACAACCACAAGGACGGTAACATGGTGGGAATCAACAGGTGAGTCGATGATTTAGTATTGTTAAAAAAAAAAAAAAAAGTCCATATTTTAAAAAAAATACATGTTGTAAACGCGGCCATGGTCTCCTCTGCGTCTTTTCCAGTCCGTTCTTGGACGAGTGCTTTCGACAATCACCCTTCAACTCGCGCTCCAAAAGCTCCTCCCCGGCAGAGGCCACCTCCTCCACCCGGGCGCCTTTCCACGGTAACACACCCACACACACTCTTTTCGTAGTAAAACAGAGGAGGAGACAAAGACATTTGCACACACATCTCAATTAACTACACTGCGTCAACCTCCAGCTCCTCGCTTAGATCTCCGACGAGCCTTTGGGCTCTGTGCGGCCCTTGCCCGGGGCCTGCCCTGCAGTCCCCTTTGCTGTGGCAGACGGCGGTCCGGAGGTTAATTAGCCTGTGCCAGCTTTACCTGTCCCACTGCCAGTTAATGGAAAGCTGATTGGCTCCTGGGTGTCAAAGAGTGGCCTGGAAGTTAATTCAACCCCCCCCCCCCACACACACACACACACACACACACACATGCGCGCCGCCGCCGGTTCCCGTTGTGCTTTTGAACCCTCTGCTGCTCCCTTTAACTCAACTCCTCTTTTAAGTCGTTATCTGCTCTGCGTGTGAACCGCGCTTCCTCGTTCCACTTGTCTTGAACATTTGAATACTTTTTATTGGGAATGCGGCATTGTGGGGTATTTTCCTGTCGCCACATAGTTGGACAGTTGCCAAAAGGCTAGACTGAAAATACAAGTACGGTCAATGAAACTTCATGACTGAACGAAAAAATTAAAAAGCATGACAAAATATAAAAATATAAAGAATAAATACATTTGCTTTTTTTTAATATTTCATATTCAAGGTTTGGACTTTTATCCGCTTAAATTGATCAACCGTCATTGAATCTTTTTACTGTGCTGGGCAATTTTTTTTTTTTTTTTCTGCATGAGGTTAGCTTCTTTGAGGAATGCCTCAGACAAGATGTACACAGAAGGAATATTTTTTTCAATCATGAGAATCTGGGGGAAAATGCAAAAATATGAGACTAAATGCCAAACTATAGCAAAGCTAAAAATATGTTCAAAATTAAACGGCACAAAAATAAGTGAAAATACACAATTAGAAAAAAAACTAAAAGATTTGTTCCCAAACAAATCAGAAAAGAAAGAAATCTAAGTAAATATGAGTCATATAATAAATATATTTGGACAATTATGATGTGAAAATCCTGCAATTTAGGAAAATCTATCCGAATATGAGATGAAAACTAAACAAATCTGAAAAGAGTAGAAACACTGAAGCCAAAACTAAAATGACTTTGTTGATGTGGGATGTCATTCTCTGTTGGATCAAGTCATCTAATTTAAGTCCTAAACGCTACATATATTGATTTATTGTTGATCGTTATTGACTGTAGGTGGCAACCCTCCCTGCAGTGGAAACAAAAACCAAACCCCGACTGCGTGTGGTTTTCATGTTGTCTCGTTAAGTCGTGCGGGGGTTGACCACAATCCCGTCCGTGTCTGTCCTGCCGGTGTCCCTTTCTCTTCAGTGGTACTAATTAGACCGTTAGCCACGTCAAGCCCCGCAGCTCGACCTAATTGGCTTCATCGACTTGCTGTTTGGCCGGCTTGTCGTCGGCTGATGTGAGCGGACCGTGCCTCTCTTCTCACCTGCGAGGCGGTCACATTAGAACGTCTGGGAAAATATCATTTTATCCCCCCTGCACTTTGGGTATCCCTATCCGACTCCGAACCCCCCGCTAACCTCAAGACTCCACAAAAAAAAATGTTCATGGGTCAATGTGACCTGCTGCAGGTTTAGGAATACAAAATGATTTGATTTAAAACATTTTTATAATTACTATCAGGAGGAAGAGAAAGAAAATAAGACCAGCCAAAACGTAGTGCCCCTCTTCTTTTTATTTTTATTTTTCTTACAAATTTAGAAATATTTGTTCTAACTTTTAAAATAAGAATAGAAAACATTGACAAAAGCACAAGATGGAAAATACACAGATAGCTGTAAAAATACAAAAATGTCAATATATTTATTAGACATAAATTTAAATATAGGCTATAAAAGGAAGAAATATGAGAACGGAAACACTCAATTAGATGTAGACATCTTCCATGAATTTTTTTTTCATAAATATTATCAGATTACAAATAGAACAATATTTAAAAATATTAATACATATTTGGTGGAAAAAAATGCACAAGTATTAGATAAGTGAAATATAAGGAAAGAAAGCACATTTTTTATTTCCAAAAAAGGAAAAAGAAACCACAATAACATATTAAACCCTAAAAATAGAGCAATATTTTAAAATATATATATAATCACGTATTAGATGGGAAAAAAAAAATATTAGAAAAGATAACGACTGCTGAAAAAGCAATTATCCAACCAAAAAAAACCCCAAATACAGTGTACACGTTAATGCTAAGATAGAAAGAAGAAAACAAAAAGTTTCACCCCAACCTTTTTTCCTCAAATCAGTCATGCTTGTTCGACGACATAACGGGAGGCTTTTAAATGTGTCCTGTCGTTGCAGTGACATAGGTGGCATCAATGCAACCAACGATGGCTTTCTTTTTCTTTGTGTCGCAGACTCCGAAAAGGACGACGGCGAACCGGGCAACGGGATCGCCCGGTGGCGGCTCAATGAGCAGCTCTTCACGTGTCCCGTCTGCGGCAAAGTGTTTGGCAGGCAACAGACGCTATCGCGCCACCTGGCCCTACACACAGGTAAAACAAGGCACTGGAAAATGACAACATTTCAACTCTCACCCCTCCCATTTTTATTATTAGCAGTAGTGGTAGTATGATGCCCATGGATCGCGGTCACCCTACAGGGCCACAGCCCGAAAAAAAAAAGGCGAAATGTCAGACTGGGGGAAAAACGAATCCTTTGGATTTACTTTATTTGAACATGTGCATATGTTGCATCCTTTTTCCGACCCGCTTATCCTCACAAGGGTCGCGGGGGTGTGCTGGAGCCTATCCCAGCCGTCTTCGGGCAGTAGGCGGGGGACACTCTGAACAGGTCGCCAGCCAATCGCAGGGCACACGGAGACGAACAACAATCCACACTCACACGTAGGGACAATTTCAGAGTGTTCAATCCGCCTGCCATGCATGTTTTTGGAACGTGGGAAGAAACCGGAGTTTAAACTAATATCTGGGAAATTATGTCATTTTACCACATTTTAATAATGCCCAAATGTATTTATTTATGCATTCTTTTTCCTTGTACAAAAAAAATTGTTTTGATTGACTTGATTTGAACATGCACATCGTTTGTTCATGATTAAAACGTGGTCAATTGAGCTGTCATTTTGGTCCGCTGTTCCCAAAAATAAAGTAATGTTATGTGTCAACTGACCACATTTCAATCATGTGCAACCAAAAATGAAGTACCGGTACTTTTGGCGCCCCAGTGGACATGATGCCGTCCGTCCGTCTGTCGTTCAGGTACCACAATGATCTTGCAGCGTCGTGGATGCGATGGCTCATGTTGTTGTCAAAACTGAGCCGGCAGCCTCAAAAAGGAACCTCAGAGCAATTTGAGTCTCGGAAACACGAAAAAATCATCTTGAAAGTCATTACCATTTTAAACGGAAATGTTGGAAATTGTCTCACGGTTTATCGGTCAATCCGTACACACGCGCACAGTCACCAGTGCGAGCATTGGTGAATGAGGTTGACTAGACTAGATTAGCCTTCCTTTAAAGAGATTACAACCGTGATTAGTCTCACCGGGAAAAGTCCCCCCCCCCCCCCCCCCCCCCCCCCCCCGTCTCATTACACCGTCTAAATGATGCACATACGCACGCGGACGCAAGAATTCTTAACTTCCCGTGTCCCCAGACCACATCCACCATCCATCCTCTTCGCCGTTGCTTCTTCCCGTCCCGCTTGCGGGATTTCACTCCAAAGCTGATTAAAACGGAGGGGAAACGAAGACTTCCTCCTCGGGAGGAGTGGTGTGAGCATTGCGTTGCGCTCCTAATCAAGAAGCGCACAAATTGAGACCCGTGTAGAAAATGCCCCCCGACACAATTGGACATGCTCGTACACACGCACACACGCACACCATCTGAGCTTGTTGGCTTGCGAACAGCTTGGCCACACCACAGAGAGCAGAAGCTGGGGCATATGTCACCATGGTGGTCTTTCTGGTCTCCCCGGTGACATAAAGGTTACTTGGCTTTGTGTCCTCGGGGCCAATCAAGTGCCTACGTGCTTCAAGGTGTGCTGGTACTGGTACATATTTCCCCCCCCAAAAAACGACAACAACAAAAATAAATCGGATAGCAAGATATTTCACCAAAAAACAAACAAAAAAAAAAACGACACGAGCATGATTTCTTCCCGCCGACAGCGTTTGAGGGGATCCGCCATGCAAAAAAGGAGGTTTGATTCTGTTCTTGGTGCTGTTTTCAACGTAGCTCATGAACATTCCCCCCCCCCCCCATCCTCTCAGGATTAAATGGACAGCGGGTTTAGTGAAGGTGAGGCAGGGCTAAGTCATTAGATCTCAATCGGCTCCAGAGTGCGACTAATGTGCGCAACTGTTTGCGTGTGGGTGTTTTTGTTTTTTTGTGGCAGAGGAGAGGAAGTACAAGTGTCACTTGTGCCCCTACGCCGCCAAGTGCAGGGCCAACCTCAATCAGCACCTGACCATCCACTCCGTCAAGCTGGTCAACACGGACGCCGAGCAGATCGTCAGCGCCGTCGCCGCCGCCCCGGAGGGCGCCGAGCGCAAGAATTGCGCCTACTACTACAGGTGACGCCGCTGATTAAATGTCCTCTTTAGGAATATAACCGAATGCGCACTGTCACCCGACAACATGATAAGCTGTCCACTGTAGTAACCACTGTGCCTGAAAGGGTTTAAAAAAAAAAAAAAAACATTTACTGCACTTGTGTATTTTGGTGGTACATGGGAGAGCTGAGTATTTTTGGGAGGTGGCACTTGGTGTAAAGTTTGAGAACCACTGCTCATGGCACACTTTGAACCGGAGCGATGTTTTGGTTGCTCTTGCTCTCTCTTTCTTTCATCATTCAAAAAGAGCAAGAACTATTTTGATTTAGTATTTTTAGATTGTGGAACCTCAAAGATCAAGTATGAGGTTCAGTGTGAAATGTAAAACACACACAAAAAAAAAAAAGGAAATTGGATTCGCCCATAGCTGAAGTGTCGTGAGCCTTCACGGGATTTGCTTTGCAGTTTTTGTTCCTTTAATTTCTAACTTCAGTGGTGTTCAACTTTAGGGTTTCTAATCCGTAATGTTTAAGTGTTTCTTTTTAGGCAAAAGTCGTCCAAAAAAATGGTATTGAATAAACTAAAGATTTCAGAAACTAAAAGATGAAAATAGAACACCCAGTAATTAATACGGCTATTTAGAGATGCTAAGATATAGATCGATAATTAAAAAAAGGAAATCGCCACTTCTGGCAAGAAACATTTAAAAAGGCGACAAATGTATTACATGCAAATGAAATCAAAGTATATTTGATTAAAATGGACAAACCCAATTCCAGTGAAGTTGGGGCGTGTTGAACATAAATAAAAACAAAACAGCCATAAAGTTCTCACGTAATGAGCATTTGCTTAACAACGATGACGTTTATCCGTTTGAACGTGAAATATTTTGCCTTTACAGTTTATTTCATAAATGTCTCCAGGTCCAGTTTATGTTGTGGCAGCAATTAAGAAGTCAATTAACCCTTTCACAGAACGGCGGTTACTCCAGTGGACGGCTCGCTGACCATGTAATCAGGTTACAAGTTGCACGAAAGGGTTAAGTAGGGCAACAAAATAATTTGAAGCGGAACAATTAAAATGTCATCATTATTGCCAGCAAAATAAAAGTAGCACTTTCTGCCACTTCAAAATCTGTTTTGACACCAAACATGAGCAAGATGTGGCGAGGAAACCCACGTTTGTTTTGTTTTGTTTTTTTTCCCTTCCCCTGATTCGTGTCATGAAAATATTTGGCCAAACAAACTTAAAAAGAAAAGATCTTCCTCTTGTTCTGGCTGTAGACCAACTAATAAAAGCCCTCGCTATGTCTACTACTAGAAAAGTCTCGTCGTGATGCTCCGTATTTCTGTCGCCAGGAGACAGAAGCTTAGCTTAGCATCAAGCCAGGTGTCATGATTCAGTTTTTTCCTTTTCCAGTGAAATGACTTCCTGTCGTTTTTTGCTGGGTTTTAAGGAATCCATCATTGCGCTAATCTGCTTCCAAGCTCTCCAAAGAAGCCAAGCTGTGCCACTTAGCAAATGCGCGGCGGCGTGGCTTGACACATTGCGTCTCCCTCTCTCTGTCTCTCTCTCTCTGGCGCTCTCTCCGGCAGCTGCCATGTTTGCGGCTTCCAGACGGAGCTCAACGCCCAGTTCGTGGGCCACATGTCGCTCCATGTGGACAGGGAGCAGTGGATGTTCTCGCTCTGCTGCAGCGTCTGCGACTTTGTGTGCATGGAGGAGGGCGACATGAAGAGCCACATCAGCAGTGGACATGCAGGTAAACTTGGGTCATTTCAGTTCATTCTAAGTTACGACAAGCTCGCTTTATGAACACAAACTTGCTGTAAACTTGCATTATCAAAACAAAGTTGCAGAATATTTTTGTCATCATGAACCAACTATTTTTTTTTTTTAAGCACAGTAAACTTGGTCCATTAAAAAAATTCTAAGGTTACATTGAACATGTTGATGAAAACAAAGTGACTTCCAACACTCTTCACAAAGTAAGTGAACCGTTTGAGGCACAGCGGTTACTACAGCGGACGGCTTTTCACGTTATCGGGTGACAGGGTGCATGAAAGGCTTCAAGTGAGATCAAACCTAGTTTTGGAATACAATGTTAGGTTGCCTCGGTTCATTCAACCAAAGTGACAGCAAACAGGCTTCATAAACGACAAAGTTAACTTGGTTTATTGAAACAAAGCCGTGGGAGACGTGGTTTAAAAAACAAACAAACAAAAGTTGCATAAAACTGTTCATTTGTTCGTCTAGTCTGCAATGCTCATAGGGGTCGTTTTTTTTTTTTTTTTTTTTTTTTAGAAATAAAAGTAAAGTTGGTTGATGAAAGAAATTGTTAATGTGAATTCTCTGTATTGGGGGTGGGGGGATTCCGATTTAATTTTTGGAGCATGGGTTTTTAAAAACAAGTTTCGGTACTTCATATTTGAGTCACAGTGAAGTTGGTTTATCCAAACAAAATGGAGGCAAACTTGGTTTTTCAAAAAGGAAATGCAAACTGGGTTTATCCAAATGAATTTATGGCAAACTTGGTGATTAAAACGGTTGACGTTGAACTTTGTTCAAGAAAGAAAGTAGTGAATGAAAGGTTGAATGAAAGCGAGAGCAAACTTGCTTTCTGAGAACAAAAGTTCGATTGCTCACTTTGTTGTAAGACTCAAACTTGAGCTCTCACCAAGTTTGTTCGAATAAAAACCGGAAGCAAAATTCTTTCCTTTGCCTCTGATACGAACTCCAGTAGGCGTTTCTTGATTTATTTATTTATTGTTTTGACATTTGGAGCTCCTCGTGTGATCCTTTGCTGATGGATGGCAGGCGTTTTTGTCCCAAAACATGTTTTATTGCTGCTCTTTGACTTTTCCCACTGTGACCGCAAGCCCGTGCACGTGCGTGCGCGCCGGCGGGCTTATTGAGTGCGTGCGCGTGGGATCGGCAACATGAGGAGGGTCTTCACGGGCCACGGTGGCCTCGTTTGTCCGGCAAGGCCGCCGGCCCTTCTCGCCCCGAAGGGTGAGGCGAGAAATCAATGCGCGCGTCTGCTTTACGCTGGCGATGGAAGGTTTTAACATACCTTAGATCAGTCAAGTTAACCAGCTATTCATGTCCCCCCCCCCCCCCCCCCCCCCCCCAAATTTGTGAATTAAAATGTCTGTCTTCATTCTAAAAGATGGTATAGCTAAATGGTTAAGTATTGGTTGTTGGTTGTTGCCTTGATTTGGCTTTTTTTTCCTCAGAACTTGGTTCGTTAAAATGCATTTACTATTTTTATTTCATAGAAGTAATCGGTTCATTAAATTACTGTATGTTAAAAAAAAGGATTGCATGAATTTCTCTAAATAATTGCGGAATTTTCGTTGTTCATTTTTCTTCTTATTCATTTGCCATTCGTTAATTTAACTATTATAAAGAAAAAAAATGTTTATATGAAAGAATTTAATTAGAATGTAGATTTTAAAAATACCAAGTGCATTAAAATAGTCAAATGTTTTGGATCTATTTATTTGGTTCACTATTGATCATGAAAACCCTGTTCATGAATGTATTAAAACATCCAAATGTTATCAAATCACACATCAAAATCAGATTTTAACTTTTTTCTTCTTCTTTTTAATCTATCAATGACATTGCCCATCTGTCTGGTTTCTAAATCGGCAAAATTTGCCTCCCATGCCCCCCCCCCCCCCACCTCCCCCTGCGTAGCCCCAGTGTCCCCCATCGTGGGAATTAGCACACCACCCACAGCATCGTGCAACTCTTGAGTGACACGCCACCTTTTAGTCTCTGTCAGTCGACTGTGTGGTTCGAAACCAGAGTGGCCGAGCTCAGCCGGCGCGTCTGCAGTTCAAGGAGCTTAACCCCCCGCGGAGTCCCAACCCGAGTGTACACCACCCGACTCAGTGGGGGTGGGGGGGCACCACTTCTCCATCGTTGACGTTTTGGAGTGAAAGCCCTTTGTTGGGGCGCGCCTCCGCCATTTTTGGCCGTGACCCTCTCTGTCCCTGCACTTTGAATTCCCCTCACTGCCACTTCCCGCTGAATGAAAGACGTGGATCAATTATCGCATGCCGCTGCTCGATTGCCCTGCCGGCAAAACCTCAATCGCAGTTGTGTGTCGGCATCAAAGATAAATGTGAGGTTGTGTCAGAGGCAAGACGCCTATTTTACATTCGAGAATCTCACAGCACACCCCGAAACAAAAATGAGGACACCGTTCAATAATCTCGAGATTCAAACGGAGAGCGTTTAATTGTTCTGCCTATCACCACTGGCATAGAATAGATGAACAAAGCACTGTGAGGCGCTTGGGAGTATAAGGCGCGCCTTCAATGAACAGCTTATTTGAAAACTGTTTTCATATATGGAGCGCACCGAAATTATAAGGCGCATAGAATAGAAGATACAATGGTGGTTGTGTTATGCATCCACTAGATGGAGCTACGCTAAAGGAATACAATACAATACAGCTTAATCTATATCGAGCTTTCACAATCGCTGCAGCTGGATGAAAGCGCTTTACACAACATTTAAAATACTACGTCCAAGAAATCAGAATATTGATCCATAAAGAAGGCGCATCGGATTCTGAGGCGCACTGTCAGCTTTTGAGAAAATGGAATGCTTTTAGGTGCGCCTTATTAGTGTGGAAAACACAGTATGCTATTCCATATATTTTGTAGTAATTCAGTGACGAATTTCCCTTTGGTCATCTGACGTCCTGTCCCCCTTCTCATCTGGTAACATTCTAGGCCTGAATTCGAGGAGTCCCCTGAGCGAGACCAAGAGCACGTCGTCGTCCCTCTCGGCGCTCAGTGACTCGCTCAACAGCTCGGAGGGCGGCGACCTCACGCACGGCGGCGGCGAAGAGCTCAAGAGTCTGCTGGCCCCGCCCTCCTCGGCCGGCAGCCAATCCAGCGCCGGGAGCCACTCGGGCTCGGGCACGGAGGACAAATCCGATAAAGGTAAAAGGCCTCAAATGCAAAAAATACAGGCAGGCTCCATCTTATGGACATTGGGAACATTTTCATTCTCCTATAAGTTTGAATGAAATTCAGTAGAAAACAGTAAATACACCGCTTACATGACCTCAAAACCTCGAATGTTGTAACATTCCGACAATGTAGCATGGACCAAGTACAGAGCCTTGTGGAACACAAACACGATCTATTCACAGGAGGGGGTTGCATGTCGGTTCATTTTCTAAATCATTCTGCCCTATGAAAGACACGCAACCCAAAAAAAAAAAAATATTTTCTCAATCATTCTGCCCTATGAAAGACACGCAACCAAAAAACAAAAACTGGAACGGGTTGAGGATTGCGAGTTGCTGAGCGTTTGCCCAAAGAAAGAAGCGCTCACTTTGACGCCCCTCTGCCCAGGCTTCGAGTGCGTGTTCTGCACGTTTGTGTGCAAGACGCGCAGCATGTACGAGCGCCACCTGCAGATCCACCTCATCGCGCGGATGTTCGAATGCGACGTGTGCCACAAGTTCCTGAAGACGCCCGAGCAGCTGCTGGAGCACAAGAAGTGTCACAGCGTCCCCGCCGGAGGACTCAAGTAAGGAAAGCAAGTACAGTCACACCTCTCCTAAACGTCGCCCATCCCCCCCCCCTCCCCGGCCCCTCCCTCACCCATCACACAAGCATAGCGTTATCTCAAACGAAGTTTGGCTCGGAAAACTAAAGTAATGACCAACTTAGTTCATGATAACAAAGGCGCTGCTAACTTAGACACACGAGTGACAACATGTTTCGTGAAACCGGCAAACTTGGTTTTTGTAGCGTGCATTTTGGGTTCACGTCAAGGGAAACCTCCTTCGGGTCCACGCCACCCCAAGCAAAAATTGTCCGATGCATTTGGAAAGAAAATCTGTCATTCGTGCGCCTTCTTTTTCCTCCTCTTCAGCCTGCCAGCGTGTTCTTCATTGGCGTCTTTGTAAATTGTCCTCTCTCGTTTTATTTCTCATTTTCGTCCCATCTTCTTCATCGTCTTCATTTCTGTCATTGTCCGTTTCATCTCGTCCTTCGCAGTTGTCTTCTTCTTGCTCTTCATGGTTTTCCCCTCGGTCTTCTTCACCATCTTCATTCATTGTCTCCTTCGGCTTTGTCTTCCTCTCCGTCGTCGTCTTTGGTTTGCGGAGCAACTCGCAACTGTTTCTGATCCAGGCTCGCTGTGGCGCGATGGCAGTTAAAGATGAGACCCAATTTAGCGCAAGGCTGGTCAAATAATAACAGTTGTCTTGATGTCAGAGGTTTTCGAGCCGGAGGCGGCCTGAAATTAGGCGGAGGCGGCCGCCTCCAAATTTCATATGCAGGAAAAACCCTGTGATTCTGTTCTGCAGGGTTTGTGAGGCGCTTTGGGGCCCAGAGCAGATGAAAGGTGCTATTTAAAAATGTAAGTGCCGCTCCATTCCTCACCCACGCCCCTCCTGTCCATCACAATCAATATCCGGCCGCGTCCCCCCCGCTGCTCTCGCCGCCTTCAACCGTTCTGGTGTCCTCCTTCCCCGACCCCCTTTTTTTGCGCCGCTCCTTCCAGGTGCCCCTTCTGCATCTACTCCAGCAGTCGTCCGGTGGCCATGGAGTGCCACCTGAAGACGCACCTCCAGACGGAGCACCGCTGCCGCATCTGCCGGGGACTGTGGCCCGACCGCCCCTCCCTGGAGGCCCACGCGCGCGCCCACCGCCTGGGCAACCACTACCGCTGCGAGCGCTGCGGCTACTTGTCCAAGACGGCCAACAAGCTCATCGAGCATGTGCGCGTGCACACAGGCGAGCGGCCGTTCCACTGCGACCGCTGCCCGTACCGCTGCAAGCGCAAGGACAACCTCAACCTGCACAAGAGGCTCAAGCACGCACCGCCCGCCCCCCGGGCAGAGGCGGCGGAGGAGGGAGGTGGCGGGCCCGGCCGGGAGACGCCAGGCGGACTCGCTGCGTCCCGGGCGCTGCGCTCTGTCGCCTTGACCCGCACCCTGGGTGGCGGCACTCGCCTGGCGCGCCCCCACAGCCGGCCCCCGTTGGGCGGCGACGACGACGACATGGACCCTTACGGGGACTGCGAGCGGGTGCACCTGATCCCCCTCACCACCCTGTTCACCCACAGTTTCACATTCCACCCGCCACCCCGCCTCCCTGCCGCCACCCACTCCGCCGCCCCCTCTCCTGCCACCCACAAACACTCCTTCCTGGCCTATCTGGGACTCACGGAGAGGGCTGAGACTGTTTGACTTGTTTTGTTTTGATTCAATCAGACCACCACAAACATTTCTAAGAGCTGTACATGCTAACAGAAAAAACATTTATATCCAAAAGCTGCTTCTTTTTTTTTTTCCTCCTCTAAGTTGATTGAATTTTACGACGGCTACGTTGGATGAGCGCTTAGCTCCAGGAAGCTAAAAGTTTGCTAGCTCGTTTTAAAGCTGCATCAAGATAGCATGCCTCTTTCTGTGTTTCAAGCTAGCATAGGAAGCTAATGTTGAGTTTTGGGTTGGGTTTTTGGGGCGTTGCGGCACAGATGGAACCAATGAAACGGACAAAGGCTCGTTTCCAAAGCAGACGCCTCAAACCACGCACTTATTTATCAATCTTGTACATAGTTTTGTAGCCCTTGCCCATCTTTTATAATTTTTTGTCATTTTCTTTTGTATGATGGTCAAACCATGTTTTGCTTAGCTGCTGCCTGACGTCACCTCCTTTTTCCCCCTGCTAAGCTATGAGAATCAAACCTAAAAATTTGACATCCCGATTCAAGATAATTTTTGCACTCACCCGATCCCCAACGACAAAATTCTATGTACCGTGCTAACGGGTTAGCGGAGGCGGCCGGCTGGAGTTTGCTTGGTCGCCGCAGAGTCGATTCAAATGGTGCTTTTTGAAGCTTTTTGTAATTTTTCTGTATAAAAAAGAAGCTAAATAACTACAAAAAACTGTTCCAAAATGACTTGAATGAATGTATTTTTGTTGATGTTTTAAAAAAAAAAAGTGTGAACAGGGACATTGTGTGTGCTGGTAAAATGACTGAAAATTGCCTTTTTTTTTTAAACTTTTTGTGATTTCTTTTCCATTTTGTTTCTTTGTACTGAGCCTTTGTCATGCAATATAATTTTGCTAATATCCATCGCTCATCCCTTATCTTCCAGCAGACACACAAATGACGGGGTGTGCATTTGATGAAAATTTCTGTTGATTTTTTTATTTATTTTTTTTTTAGGTCCTCTCTTTACAACTGAGTTGTGATGTAACCCGAATTTGTTCACGAATGATCACTATGCTATGCTAAAGCAGTTGTAAATTCAAAACAAAACCCCACTTGTAGGCTATAAATGGGAAAGAAAAACAATCAAATGAAAAACAGTAACCATGGTGCTCGTTGATCCTGAGCCTTCTGTGAGAGGCAAGACGTGTTCTTACGCCACCGCTCAAATTAACTACATGACATTTGTAACCTTGAAATTTCATGTCGGTGGCGTTGTAAACCAAGGACCCCACTGCTCTTACCTAGTTTTCATACTGCCAAGTAATTTTGAGATTTATGTAGAGGAGACCAAGTATAGAGCCTTGTGGAACGCCACCAGTATCGATCGAGAGGTGGTCCTTGGTGCACAACGCAGTTCCGTTTCTACGACAGTGACAAAACCCAAATTTGTCAGTAAATAAGTAAATATCACTAATGGATATCAGAACATTTGTAAACCCAACACCTCTGTAATCGACTATCATACCTATCCCTAATAGTAGCAAGTTTCACTCCATCCCTGAAAACATCAACTCAGCACTTACTTTTGTGAACACGTCTAAGGCAAAAGCACTTAACAAGCTTCAAACGCACTGGCTAGGAAAACAACTCAAACATGACACCATTAGGCTCCGCCCATGCAGACCCGATCATTAAATGGGCACAAATTGTGTGTATTAGAGAGTCAGAGGTGAAGCTCATCCTGGGAGCTAAAAGGGATCCCAGGCTAAATTTGTGATCTGCATCTTTTTTTTTTTTTTTTTTTTTTTTGCACGACGCTGCACTTTTATTTCACGATGAGACTAGATGGACCTGTTCTGAATAGAACGGGGCAACAGAGCGTTTTGTTTGAAATTCAATTAGATTTTTGAAAAGCTTTATGCATTAAGTTGTAGAGTGGCAACGTGTATCTCCACATTTTGATTTTCTTTGAATGATCAAAACAATTTTCTCTTGTTCAAAAAAAATGTTTTTGCCATTGGTTTTCAAAAACTGAACAAAATTTTTTTTTCGACCAAAGTACAAAGAATAGTTTTTTTTCTAGTTTTTATTTTTAACGTTTTTTTTCTTCAAAAAATGGACAAACGTGTTCTAAATACAGAGGGAAGAAAATCCCCTCTCTAACACACACACACACAAACGTACTAAATATCCTAAAATGTGGAGTTACACGTTTCTCACCTAACAGCATCATGTGTGGCCTTCAGAGCCTGAATCCCTTGTTTGTAAAGGTACTCAAAGTCTACTTTTTTTTTTTGTCCATGACACAAATGCATTTTGAAATCATTTTTTTTAAATTATTTTCTACGTTGAATTGTGCCAGATTGGACGGGAGAATTGTTTTCGACCAAAACGTACGTAGCCGCGGGATGTGATGTTAGGATGCAATCCGTCACGTCCTGATTTGTTTTGGCTCCCTGTTGTTTGCCAACTCACTATCAGTGTCTTTTTTTTTTTTTTTTAATAGATGCTAATTGCAATTCAATCAAGACCCCCCCCCGCCCCCCACCCCAAAAATAATATAAAAAATAGTTTATTTGAGGATTTCATATGTTGTCATCAATTTTGGTATAAACACTTTGCACTCCCCCGCTGTGAGCATGACCTCAACATTTAGTCCCTCGGAATCTTAGCACTTGTTTTCTTGATTTTGGCGTTTTTACGATTGAGAGGGGAAAAAGGCTCAACCCGCCGCATCTGCTTTGGTAACAATTGGTATATGCTGTACAAAGCTTTTTTTTTATATGATGATGATTATTATTATTATTACTCCATGGTTAAGGCTGTACAGGGTTGTGACGAGAACTGGTAAATAGATCATTTGTACTTTTTTTTTTTGTTTGTTTGTTTTGTATTTGTTCCGTTGGTATTATGTTCAACATGCCGGATCTAAATGTAACAGGATTTGAAAGTAAAGCTTACATCAAATATTAAAATGTCTTGTCTTTTAGAGTTTCCTCACACTTTGCAACATCCTTCAGTAACCGGGTCATGTTGAAACACCTTTCATGGGCTACATTGGGGCGAAGTGTCTGTCTACCCGTCACTGGTCGAAAAGCCAACATGATGATACAAGATGCTTTTTGTTGGACAGCGCCAATAGTACATGACTACATTATTGTGCATATAATTGCAATAATTTTGTTGCAACTAATATTAAATATTCTTCGCGACCCTCGTGGGGATCAGACATTCAGATAGACGGATGGCAAACTACATGACCCCAGTCGCCTCCAGATGCCTCCGGCAGTTGAGTCAATAAATGCGCCCTGAAAGAAAATGTTGAAAAAAAAATGTATACAAATGTCAGTTAGTACAACCACAAAGAAAAGAAAAAAAACAGAGAAATGCTCACACACAAGACTGGCTCACTTTAAGGATACATCTTTATCGTTGGACTGTGTCTAAAGATTAAAATTTAAATTACACGTCAATATCAGGGAGACACACAGCAGACACTTTCAGTGCCACCTGTCAAAGTCCTTCCAGACTGCAGTCGAGTTTTGAGTGGCCCCCATCGCACTCTTTCTACGTCAATTTCCGAGAACAATGAAAAGAAAATGGGGGAAAAAAGCGGCGATAACAAATGAAAATCAAACGTTTCCACCCAGTCCACTGGGGAGGTTTAAAATGTGAGTTGTCGGATCATCTCTGACGGACATCACTTGTTCTAATTTATCCTCGTCGTCGAAATGTATCGCTTCTGTCACACCGCGTTTTTTACGGGGCCGACAGGAGGGCGAGGGGGAGGGAGGGGGGTGCTAATAATGAAAGTTGCGGCACGTTCCCGGCCAGCCAAAGGTCGGCGCTGCCTAATGAAAACAGATGAAGCAGAGATAAAGTGTTTGGCGACATTAAGGGAGTCATTCATCAGCGTTAAGCCCCCGGCGTCGACGGAACACCTTGGACGGGAGCGCTTCCCTTGCGGCGGGTACGTTCACGTTAGCTTTCATGCTAGTCAAGGGTTACCGTGTTTTTCCATCCTCTGGGCACTCGGCTGATTTTATTTATTTATTTTTTTTGATATAACTGAATATCGTGTCCACCAGAGGTGGGGACTAATTGAGAAGTTTCCACGATAAGGCCGAAGTTTTCCCCCCCTTAAGGTTGTGCACGGAGGATCCCGGATCGATCGCGCATTAGCTTTTTTGTTTGCCGGTCCGTGGCTTTATTACAGTTGCGCGCCATCACATCACAGGGGAGTTGGGAGAGACAGCAGCTCCCGCTTGTTTGCCAAAAGTGTAATCCTGCCGTGACCCGCCGCGACCCAGCCCACTGAGGAAAGCTGCTTAGACACAAATTCGCGTCGGCGGGAGCTCCCAGCAAACGCTCTCCTGCCTTTTTTTTCCCCCACAGAGGGGGGGCGGGGGACAGACAGATAATTTGACATCATCTAGTGTCAAACAAACCTTTGACAATTGCGCTCAACACACAGGGCAGGAGGAAAAAAAAAGTGTCTCTCTGAGACTCCCTCCAAACATGAAAAATTGCCCAATGAATTCTGCAACGCAGCAACAGAGACAAAATATTGAAAAATGGCAGTGTCGAGTGTGACATATAAAATACTCGTCAGGCAGCGAAAATTGCTTTCGACAGAAAAGTGTGGGAATTTTCTTGTTCTAACACTACCTCCAAAAGCGGGAAATTGCCATGTCACCTTTCTACTCCCAGTGTTGTTTACAGTAACCCACCCTCCCCCATCGCAAGGGGAATGTTCCAGACATCCTGCAAAAAGTACCGTATTTTCCGCACAATAAGGTGCTTCGGGGTATAAGGCGCACATTCACTAGTGGCTGTGGTTGCGTTATGCATCCACTAGATGGAGCTACACTAAAGGGAATACAATACTATACAGTGGATTTACATTGCGCTTTAACAACCGCTGCAGCTGTCACAAAGCGCTTTACAGAACATTGAAAATATGAGAAATCAGACGATTGTTCCACATAGAAGGCGCATCAGATTATAAGGCGCACTGTCGGCTTTTGAAAAATTGGAATGTTTTTAGGTGAGCGGAGAATACGGTACATTCTGCAATATAGTACATCGCAATTATGGCACTTTATTTGAATTCTATTTTGTTGCCAGCCATTTTCAAGATCTACAGGATATCGCGTACAATGATTTTATACACGTCTGATCAGCACTTGAATCGACTCTCCTTTTTATAGTTTTTCTGTGAACCAGGAACCCGCAATGGATGGTGGCTGAACGGTACAGAGAACAACACAGGAAAGAGGTGGAAACATTTTACAGGCGGCATCTTGCGTGAGATATAAGTTACTTGCCGCGTAGCAGCAATCGCTTCCACCCCAACGGGGGCCGAAGGAGTGAGAAAATGTCTCGGTCGCGTCTGTTCCTACAAAAGAGCGACATGAGAAATGAATCAACTTCCCACCCTGGTGCCTGCGGCGCCAAATTTCCTTCCACATCGCCACCGTTCCGCCTACGTCACTGTTCTCTCCGACTACCTCCAGACTTTGGCCGGCCATTTCATGCCTGCTGCGCCTCGTGGGTGAATCGTCTCTCAGCGGGGACTCAACAGAAATCTGATTCACAAATCACAGCAGGGGGCGTGGGGGGGGGAGGCGATGTTTGTGGGAGCTGATGCTATAAAAGGGTCCAACGTGTGAGGGAAGGGGGGCAGCGACGAGGACACGGGTCAGCCAACAACATGGCTGTTACCATGGAGATGACCTGACTAAGCCATCCCCCGACGTGGCATTTGAACTGACATAATTCCCGTTTGTTTGTTTTTTTCAGGGAAAAGAGGAAGCTGTTATTTCTTAAAATGGTTGATGTCCCCGGTCAATTTTTTTTCTCCTGACACATTTTCAGCGATTGTTCTCGCCACTCCTCTGGCGTTTTCAAAAACAAATGAAATCACACTTTTTTTCCGATGGGGAAAAAAACGGAGCAGTCTCTTTGAAGATGACGTTAATTTTGACAAGTGGATGATGCACCTGCGACTTCTCCAAGGGCTCAATTTCACAGCGCGCTCCTCACCTGCACATGAATGGAGAAAATTCAAGTGAATAGAAGCGGCGCCTTGAGATCCGAGTGACTCGCCTCACAAATTTTTCAAGACACAAGCCATCATTTGCCCGATTTTTTTTTTTTTTTTTTTTTTTTTAGGAGCGTTGTATGGTCGCAGTGAACCAAACCGGAACTTATTTCACAATAAGCAGCATTTTGGCAAAGAGTAAATATGTCATGAAAAAGTGGCTAGAACTGTTTGACGCCGCTCCCAGTTCAAGTTTATTGTCACATCATGCCGAAAGAAAGGCTTGCTTGATTCGTGTTTATGCTAATGAGCACCTACGTTGCAGTGATTTCAGCCTTGAAACAATGGACTGAACGAGAATGGTTCAATATACAAAACAGTAGTACTCACAGTCATATACTATTTATCTTATGCATAGAACTAATTAGTGCCGTACTGATGAGTTAAGAGAGGAGTTGTAGGCAGGCCATGCCCCGCTGCAACCAGGAATTCAGGGGTAAGGCTAGAACGGATTAAGGGCACTTCCATTCATTTACATGGGAGAAGATGATTTGAGAGAAAAGTGTTTTGATTTACAGGCGTGGTCATGGAATAAATTAAACTCCAATTCATCTCAAGGGACCGCTGTAACTTTTTTTATGGACG